GGCCTCGGCCAGAAAGACCACCTCGGCCTATTCACTTCGACATCAGCATTTGGGCCACATGTTTGAGTATGCTGGTCAACTTCTGTTGGCTTAGGAGCATCGGCTAGGATGCAACGTGGTTTTGCATAAGTGGGCCATGGGCCCCAGTGGGTCAGTCAAGTGTGTCAACACGTAACAATAGTCCCCTAAGTCCAAGTATGGTAATTTATGTAGTGCGTGGATTTTTATTGTTGTGAAGTGAGTGTGTGGGGTAAAAATTGAAAGAAGTTCTTGTACCCTAAATAATAGTCCCCCAAGTCCAAGTATAGATATTTATATCATCGTTGGAGTTAAAAGTGTTGCCATGTTCAGATTAGTACATGAAGTTTGTTGTTATGGTATTGCAGCGATTGAAAAGGGTGACGAGGCAGTGAGTGAATCGATCCTGCCAAGACTTGTGAAGATGTGGCTGAAGTGCTAAGAAGTAGAAGCCGAGGCGTTGAGTGGATCGAGCATGCCGAGACTTGTGGAGATGTGGCTGGATTGCGAAGAAACAGGAGCCGAGGCGATGAGTGGATCGGACCTGCTGAGGCTTGTGAAGACATGATTGTCTTCAATGTGTGTGCCAATGATTTGATGTTTTGCGCATGTTACCAAGAAAAGGCAACCGAACCGTTTCAACTTCCAAGGCATGTACTGCTGCTGCATTAAATGTGCAATGATGGCTACAACTGGGGCTTCTAGAATGAGACGCGTTTAGAGAGGTGAGTGAAGGGCTCATTCGAATCGGAGACGTAGATTTCAAAAATGATTTAAATTCTACACCTCAGATTTAACCCGAAATTGAAGGGCTGAGATTTATGGGGCCTCAATCCAAGGGCTACCCTTCTTCATCCTTTGATTTCTGCAATTTTCTTCTAAAATTTAAAGTCTTCCAATTTCGTTATCCGGCGTCCATTGGTTTCCTTAGTCGTCCACTGTAGGTATTCAATTTTGAAATTTGAATTTGTTTGTCATCTTTGCTTCTTGACATCTGGGATGGAATCCACCTCGGGTAGGGATTCGGTCACCATAGCTAGGTTGGGTGAGGGGGTTATTTTTTAAGTGGAAATTCCGAGGTCGAATATTATGCCATGACCGAGGAGCCTATAGATTATAAGGAAGAATGGCAGGCTGCTAGGATAGCGTCAAAAATGACCCTGAAGAAATTGAAGGAAATTAGGGAGAAGTAGAGCATCCCTCATTACGTGGAGATGTTAGTATGCGTCTACCTCTACACCCCTTCTTTAGGGCTATGCTTAGGAATTTTATGTTGCCGCCGACTCAGGTTCTGCCGAATGGGTGGAGTCAGCTAGTGGGTTCGTACTTCTTGTGAAAAGAAGTGTCGTTAGGGAAGGATATACCTTTGCATGTCTTTCAGACCCTCTTTCAGCCTCGCGTCTTAGGTAAAGACGAGTCAAAATGTTGGTATTACATCACACCCTGGGGAGCTCACACACCTTTCGTGGTGGGGCTGCCTTCTTCCATCAAGGGATGGAAGGAATCATGGTTCTGGGTTCAGGGAAAGTGGTAGGCAGTTGAGGAGGACAAGGTCTTGGCTTGCACAGTACCGACCCAGTACTACGAAGCTCGTGAGTGCCCAACCCATCTGTAGCTTATCCCTGCTAACTTTTCCATAATATTTTCTAACAGTTATAACATGTATTGTAGATTGTAGCACGAGGTATGAGCTTCACGAAGGTGAATTCGACGTGATAGAGGACATCTATAAACGACTCTTAAAGCTTCGTCATTTCGATCATCTCATTGACCGAAGCAAATACTTCATCGACTTTGGATTAATGGCTTCAAAGGGTAAGAGATGCTTGTACTTGGTGGAATTTCAGAATTGATGATATAGTTCTGAACAGCTGTTGTTTTTTGCAGATAAATTCAAGAGGAGGGAGTACCCTATCCCAGACATGGCCACCATCTTAAAGGCCACTTTTACGATGGGGGTAAGGCTTTGAAGCCAAGCTCCTCTACTGCGAAAGAAATGAAGGGGAGGTTGGAGCGCCTTTCCAAGGAGCATACCTCCAAGGGGAGCGAGGCAAATGCCCCTTCGAAGAAGAAGCCCCGGGAACCTAAGGGCAAGGAAAAGGTCCCCAAGGAACATCAGAAGAAGAGGAAGTTGGTGTATATCTCCGGCTCCTCAGGGAAATTTGTGACCTCGGTGTCTCACTCGAGCAAGAGTAATCATCCTCAGCCTCCTAAACTGACTCCGCCATGAAGGCGGTAAAAGTTGAGATGGTGAGGAGGGTCGAAGAAGAGGAGGCGAGGGAAGAGGCTACTAGGTTGGCAGTGGAGGAGACAGCAGAGAAGTAGCGTCCCTTGAGAACACAAAGGAAGTCTCCAAATTTTTTGGCGGGCGAGGAGGAAGAACTGGCTCCGGCATTACTTGAGGCATTACCGACCGAAGTCCGAGGAGCTACAGGGCCTCTACAAGTTTTGGACGGATCAGTGGTGGTTGTACGCCTCATCCTACGATGCTAAAGATCTCGCGGGGGCCCTCATGAGCCAAAGCGTACAAACATTTGGCCTCGCTTTGGAGTGCAGGGAGACCCTTACTGATTTTCAGTCGAGGAATAGATCTTCTTTGGAAAAGTTGGCCTCCTTTGAGGAGGAGGTGAAGAAGCTTAAGGCCGAGGCAGAGGAGGCAAGGGCACAGAAGATTGAAGATGCTGCGAAATTGGAGTTTGCCTTGGCCCAAATTGAGGGTTTAAAGAAAGAGGTGTACGAGTCTCAGTGTGAGGTGGCCTTCCTCACTAAGAAAGTGGAGATCTTCAATAATCACCAGAAGGTGACGGCTGAGGCCTTGGAGCAAGTCAATTTAGGTCTGACTGGGGCCAAGGACGCATACTAATTTTTGGAAGGCCAAATAAAGTGGGATGTAGACGAGCTGCAGAAGGCTTGAAGAGAGGCCAAGGTAGCCAGGGAGGAGGCGGTCAAGGATTATATCGTAAGTTTCCATCTCTCTGAGGAGTACCAGTACTTCGGCTTATATTGGAAGAACTTCACTTATGCTAAGATGATGGAGAAGGCCGAGGAGCTCTACCCAAACAACGACCTATCTCAACTGAGATCAGAGTTTATGGACGAAGTTTCTCAAACCCCTGTCAAGGAAGCAGTTGGCGGTGAAGCGGCTGAAGAGGTAAAGGCAACTCTGAAGCTCAAGCTACGAAGGCGCCTGCTGTCGAGGCACCCTCGCCAACTTAAGCATAGCGTAGTTTACTTTCAATTTACTCTAATGTACTGGCCTCAGGCCTACCTATTGTAATATATTCAATGTCAATAAATGCCATGTTTTGCAATGTTCTATTCGTTTTTTCGACATCTAGTGAATGGACCTTGCTAGATAATTAAGCTTAAGGATGAGTTAATAATTCGAACTTGACATCCTAACTTCCATCACTTGAAATAATCAAGCTTAAGGATGAGTTAATAATCAAGCTATATGAATGATGACTTAATGGGTTGAACTTAAGTTCTATCACTTGAAATAAATCGCGATGTCCAAGTTGAATGAAGTATTAAATGCAAACTGAATAGATTATTAGACTAAACCTTTCAATTGAGATCAAGTTCAGGAGGTGAAACTATGGTGGATGGGATATGCGTGTAGAGGCTTCTTCGTTTGGCCTTCAGCCTCACCACATGAAAGCATGTGGTATGCCCTTCGGAGTTCGGGCAAGGTGACCCCAAAACTGGGAATCAGGATCTCTCTTTCGAGGCACCCACGCTTCTCTACATGGTGGATGGTGCAGCCATGCAGAGGTTTTTTCCTTTGGTGTTCAGCCTCGCCACAAGAAGGCATGTGGCATGCGCTTCGGAGTTCAAGCGAGGTGACCCCAAAGCTGGGAATCAAGATCTCTCCTCCAAGGCCCCCACGCTTCCTTATATGGTGGTTGGTGTAGCCATGCAGAGGCTTCTCTCTTTGGCATTTAGCCTCACCAAAGAGAGGCATGTAGCGTGCGCTTCGGCGTCCAGACGAGGTGACTCCAAAGCTGGGAATCAGGACCTCTCCTCCGAAGTGCCCACGCTTCCCTACATGGTGGATGGTGCAGCCATGCAGAGATTTCACCCTTTGGCGTTCAGCCTCGCCAAAGGAGGCATGTGGCGTGCGCTTCGAAGATCGGATGATGTGATCCCAGAGCTGGGAATCAGGACCTCTCTTTCGAGGCATCCACGCTTCCCTACATGGTGGATGATGCAGCCATACAGAGACTTCTCCCTTTGGCGTTTACCCTCGCCAAAGGAGGCATGTGGCATGCGCTTCGGAGTTCGGGCGAGGTAACCCTAGAGCTAGGAATCAGGACCTCTCCTCCGAGACGTCCACGCTTCCCTACATGGTAGATGGTGCAGCCATATAGAGGCTTCTTCCTTTGATGTTCAGCCTTGCTAAAGGGAGGCATGTGGATTGAGCCTCGAAGTTAAGGTTAGGTGACCCCAGAGTTGGGAATTGGAACCTCTCATCCAAGACGCCTGCAATTTGAGAGTCGTATCTGAACTTTAATTATGACATTTTATTAAAGCTAACAATCTGTTACATAAGCTAGGAAAGATCATCTAGCGATGCAGTACATTCATTTATAGTAAATTCTGAGATGCTCAATGTTCCATGGGCGAAGCTATGCCCTACCATCCATGTCTTCAATTATGTAGGTGCCTGGTCGGAGTTCTTCCTAGTTTGGACCCAAAGTACCTTCGCCTAGTCCTTTGGAGGAGAGGAAGACTCTCCTAAGGACTAGGTCATTGATTCGGAAGAACCTCTTCTTCACCTTGGAGTTAAAGTATTTAGTCATTTTCCTTTGGTAAGTAACGAGCCTCAGCTGGAAGTCATCTCTTCTTTCATCAATGAAGTTAAGGTTGAACCTTCGTAGCTCGTCATTGGTTATTTCACTGAAGTGTATGAGACGTGGTGATGGTAAGTCGACCTCGACGAGGCTCATGGCCTCGGTGCCATAAACCATGAGGAAAGGAATTTACCCTGTGGGAGTTTTGGTGGTAGTTCGGATTGCCCAAAGTACTTTTGGCAGCTCATCAACCAATGCTCCCTTTGATGCGTCCAGTTTCCTATTGGGGACATGCTTAATTGACTTGTTTACAACTTCAACTTGGCCATTGGCTTGAGGATGATGAGGCGTTGAGAAGTGTTTCTTGATTCCAAGTTCTTCGCATAGGTTCCTGACCTTCTTGTTGTTGAACTGTCTCCCATTGTCTGAAACTATAGAGTGGAAAATTCCAAACCAAAATATGATGTTCTTCCAGAAGAACTTGGAGGTATTTGCTTTTGTGATTTTTGCTAGCGGTTTAGCCTCGATCCGCTTTGTGAAGTAATCAATGGCCACAATGGTGAAATTTGCGCCCCCTCTGCCTTTAGATAGGGGACCTATCAGATCCACACCCCACTTGGAGAAGGGCCATGGGTTGGAGACGGCAATTAGCTCCTGTGAAGGTTGCCTCTGAATGGGAGAGAAATACTGGCACTTCTCACATTTGCGCACGAATTAAAGGGCATCCTTTTTCAAGGTGGGCCAATAGTACCCCTGCCTCAGTACTTTTTGTGTCGAAGCTAGTTCTCCTGAGTGGTTGCCGCAAACACCTTCTTGGATTCCTCTTAAAATGTAGGTGGTCTCTTCCCCACCCACACACTGAAGAAGTTGGGAAGAGAAGCTTTTCTTGTAGAGCACATCATCGATGAAGAGGAAGTGAGCTGACCTCCTTCTCAGCTTGTAGGCCTCGTCTTTGTTAGCGGGCAGGACCTGGTCCTTTAAGTAGGTTATGATAGGTTGCATCCAGGTGGGAGTTCTTTCGACCCACATCACTTTGAGAGATTCGATAGATGGTGTAAAGAGGTGCTCAATCGGTACTACTGCGAGTAGTTCAGAGTCCTTGCTGTTCACAAGCTTAGAGAGTGCATCGGCATGTGTGTTCTCGATGTAAGAGATTTGTATTATTTCGAATTTTTCAAAAAAATGGGAGGAGGTTCATCACCTTCTTCAAATAGGAGGCTATAGTTTTATCCCTAGCTGAAAAACTGTCATTCATTTGGCTTACCACTAGCTGGGAGTCGCTGTTGATATGTAGCCTTCTTACTTGCATTTCTTTGGCTAATCTGAGGCCTACAAGGAGCGCCTCATACTCGGCAGTGTTGTTGGTGACTTTAAATCCGAACCTCACAGCAGAGTTCAATTTGTGACCCTCTGGGCTAACCAGGACCACCCCAACTTCCAAACCTGTCTCTCCAGCCAAACCGTCCACGAACAAGTTCCACGTGGGGGGCTCAACGGGTTCCATGACCTCTTCCACCTCGGATACATTGGTGAATTCTGCCACAAAATTAGCCAAGGCCTGGCCTTTGATGGATGCCCTTGTCGTAAAGACAATGTCAAATTCACTTAATTCCACTACCCACTTCAGTAGTCTTCTTGAGGCATCTGGCTTCTGCAGCACTTGTTCAAGGGAAAGTTGGTCATCACAGGAATTGTGTGTGCCTGAAAGTAGGGCCTCAGCTTCCTAGAAGTTGTAATCAAGGCCAAGGCTAGCTTCTTCATATCGGGGTAGTTAGTTTTAAGAGATAGAAGTGCTTTGCTCGTGTAATACACAGGGAGTTGGGTGATTCTTTCCTCTCAGATTAGGACTGCACTAACGGTAACATTGCAAATGGCCAAGTATAATTGAAGGCTATTGCCAAGTTTTGGCTTAGAGAGGAAGGGGCCTACCCTAGATGCCTTTTCATGCCCTGGAAGGCCTCTTCACACTCCTCATCCCATTTGAACTTTCCCGACTTTCAATATTTTAAAGAACGGGAGGCATTTGTCAGTAGCCTTGGAGACAAAGCGGCTGAGAGCTGCCACTCATCTAGTTAGACTTTGGACTTTCTTGGGTTTCTAAGGTGATCTCATCTCAAGCAAGGCATTGATCTTTTTAGGATTGGCTTCAATTCCTCTTTGATTGACCATGTACCCTAAGAACTTGCCGGAGGCCACTCCAAAAGTGCACTTGAGGGGATTGAGCTTCATCCTGTACCTTCTGAGGGTTCGAAAAGTGTCATTTAAGTGCGTCACATGGTCATCCGCCTTCAAACTTTTCACAAGCATATCTTCTACGTAGACTTCCACCGTCTTACCGATGAGGTCCATAAACATTTTGTTGACAAGCTTTTGATATGTGGCCCCGACGTTTTTCAACCCAAAGGATATCATTTTGTAGCAGTAAAGACCTCTGTCCGTGATAAAGGAGGTCATCTCTTCATCGGCCAGGTACATGGGTATTTGATTGTAGCCTGAGTAGGCGTCTATAAAACTTAGGAGCTCATACTCGGCAATAGAGTCTACCAATTAATCAATCCTCGAAAATGGGAAGCTATCTTTGTGGCATGCTTTGTTGGGATTCGTAAAGTCAATTCATACCCTCCATTCTTCATTGTGCTTCTTAACTAGTACCAGGTTGGAGACCCATTTTGGGTAGATGGCCTCTCTGAAAGAGAAATCATTTTTTATTAGCTTCTGCACTTCTTCTTTCAAAGTCTCATACCTTTTTTAGGTTGAGGGCTCTTCTTTTTTATTGATGTGGGGGCAACCTTAGGATCTATTTTTAGATGGTGACAGCTGACGTTGGGGTCTATGCCCACCATATCCTCATGCCTCCAAGCAAAGATGTCAAGGTTCTTACAGAGAAAGTCTTTCAATTTCTCTTTCATGCTGTTGCACAAGCTTTTGCCTACTTTCAACACCTTCGTGGGGTCCCGGGGGTCGATCGGGAAGCCTCGAGCTCCTCAACTGGAGTTGTTTAGGGTTCGTGTTCAATCACACGGGGATCGATCTCATCGATCATGGATAGTTCTCCGTGCTCGGGAGGTGCGTCGATCATGTCAACATCTTCTCATTTAGGGAAGGCCTTTCTTGGGACGTCCATCATGTCTATATCTGTCAGGATAGCATGTATGTCCCGAGGCCTAACCTTTCTGATGGAGCTCAGGCAGCATTCCCTGGACCCTCTTTGGTCACCTCTCATTGTTATCACTCCATTTTCACTTAGGAATTTCATGCATAAGTAGTGGATGGAGGTAATGGCTCCTAACTCCTTTAGGGTCGATCTACCCAAGACTCTTTGGTAAGCTGACTGACTGCCAACAATAAGGAATTTCATGAAGTTCATTGTGGTTTAGGGGACTTTCTCATCTCTACCGCCAGTGTTATTTTTCCTCTCGAAGTGATACTATCTTCAGAAAATCTATACAGAAGAGTGGTGATGGGTGTCAGCTCATGGTCTAGGATCATCTTGTCAAAGGTGGACCCAAAGAGGATGTTAGCGGAGCTGTTATTGTCCACAAGCATTCACTTGAGTCCATTCCGGGCCACAACGGCCCTTACTACAAATGCATCATAGTGAGGGTAGTGAACTCCTTCGAAGTCTTCTTGGGTGAAGATGATGGGCGGTACTTGATTTCTTCGAGAGCTGCTATCTACGATATAACTGGTTAGCGGGAGGCATTTAGCCTCTCGAGCATAGTTCCGTTTTGCATTCCAGGTTTCACTGCCCACGTAGGGGCCTCCAATATGGTATCCACCTCATAAATAAGGGCCTCTTCTTGTGCGTGACAGTTTCCACGATGTCTATATCCTTCCCTAGGCCTCACCGTGTCATGTTCCCTTCGATAGGGGACACATCCCACTGGCGAAGAGCAGCATCCTCACGCCTAGGTCACTGGTCATTCCTAGGTGGGGGCCTGTTGGCGACTCATCCTTCCTATCTTGAAGGGTGTT